CTCGGGGCTGCTTCTCGTAGAACCTTTAAGGCTGGAAAAGTCCTGCGGGTTCATCAAGTGCGGCACCTGCTGTCCTTGGGCCTCGGCCACCGGAGAGGGGGGAGAGGGATCAGCCCCGGTGGGATCAGCCCCGGTGGGATCAGCACCAATGGGATCAGCACCAATGGGATCAGCCCGGTGGGATCAGCACCAATGGGATCAGCCCGGTGGGATCAGCCCGGTGGGATCAGCACCAATGGGATCAGCCCCGGTGGATCAGCACCAGCCCTGTCCATGGCCGGACCCAGCGCTGGGCAGCCCCAGCAGCCCCAGCAGCCCCACACGATCCCGGTGTGTGTTTTGAAGCTCGGTTTATGCACTGCAGCCAGGCCCGGTGCACACAGCCTTCCTGCAGCCAGCCTTTCCTGGTCACTAGGTGCAGCCCTCAGCTTGGGAATGAGCTGAGGGGAAGGAAAACGCATCCCTGCTTCCATCCCGCAGCCTGGCGAAGGAAGGGGGCAGTAAATTTCCACGGCAGACTGGCAGCCAGCAGGTATCCCCGGGCTCGGACATCTCCAGCCCCATCCCCAGCCCGCCCCGGGCTGTTCTCAGCTGCTGCTTTCCTTAAAACGCTGGGAAAGCAAAACTGCAGTCCCTGTGGAGGAGAGGAATTCCAAACGGAGCTGCTGGAGCTGCTCCAAGGCCTGGGCAGGCCCTGGGCTCTGCACTCCCCACGGCACCGAAGCTTTCTCCAGCGTTCGATGCTTTTGACATTTAAGGCAAGAATACCTTGACTTTTTCCAGGCTTTTCTTTCACAGGGAAGGTTTCCGAGCCACGCATGAGGCCGGAAAGCTCCAATCCTGCCAGGAAACGAAATCTGGCGCAGGACAGGAGGATGCTGTGCTATCCCTGCAAGGGAGGGGGATGCTGCGTGTGCCCCCCAGCCCTGCCGCTGCTTCCCCAGGGATGGCTCGTTGGATTCTTGAGGAAATCACTGGGCACAACTTCAGCCCCATCAGGAGCAGGGAGGCAGCAAACCAGGGCAGATTTGGGGTGTTTGCATCTGAGGGGCACAGCTGGAGCTGGGCTAGAGCTGCCCCTTCCCTCCCCAGCCCCCTTTCTTTCTTCTTCCCCCTGTAAAGAGCAGAAAAATACACTGTTAAAAAATATACGTGTATATGTGTTAATAGTACAACAGGACTTTATTATAGGAATTACTATTAAACATCTTTAAGAAAAAAAATCACTTATGGAAATAAATTCTCAAATAACCACACTCACAGACATCACAGATCGTTTTGTTTTGTTCTTTTGAAACGTTTTTGTAGAGAAATGATACAAACATCACTGAGAATTGTACATTATTATGTAAGAAATGCATTTGGCTCCCAGCCAGGTTTGTGGCCGTTCCACTCCTAAGACCTGACTTTTTGTGTTTTACAGGACACAAAAACAACCCCGCTCCATTAAAATGATGTTTTGTGCCTCCAAGATATTTTGCCACGGCTACAGAGTGACATCATCCAGAGGCTGTGCCGGGCCTGGGATGTTCCAGGGCAACTTGTTGGGTGGGGGTGGTGGCCAAGCCGTGCCCAGGGCCCTGTGGTGGCCATGGTGTTTTTGGTGCAGGGTCAGAGCCAGTGGGGCTGGGCACTGGCACCCACCTGCCCCCTCCCCAGCTCATGGCCCCCGGCCACCTTTCCTTGCTGTCCCTTTCTCAGCGGGAGCAGAGGGTGCCAGACACCTCGGGGATGTGTTCAGAAAGCAGAGGCAGCTGCTGGCCCGGGACTGCTCCACCACAAGCCTTGGCTGGCTTACAGAGGTGACTCGGGACGTGTCCCCTAAGGAGCAGCCTGGGGAGGGGCAGGGTCCCCCTCTTTGCCCTGAAGCCAGTGGTGCAGCAGGACTCACCTGTGGCCCTGTGCCAGCCTCAGGAAAGCTCAGCCCATCCCTGAACCCTGCACGGGCCAGCCCAGCCCTCCTGCCAGCACCTCCTGCTCTGGGAAAGAATTCCCTTCCCGCCCCTTGGTGCTTCCTGCGCTCATGGAAATTTCGCTGGGACTGAATCCCTCGGTAGCTAAGAGGCGCTGGAATGGTGACAAGCTGATCTGCTTCCAAGTTTGATTTTCTTCCAAATATGCAGAGCTGCTTTGGACTGGGAAGGAGTAACAGCAGCCTCCTCCGGCCCCCAGCGCCATCAGAGGGTAGGGAAGGAGCCCCTCCTCTTCAGCACTCTCAGAATGGAAGTCCCACACAGGGATTAGAGGTTCTTCCATTCCCTGATTCACCCACAGCCCCTTGCACCCCGAGCCAGGTGTTCCTCCAGACCCACATCCTTCCCTGGGCAGGGCAGAGCAGCCTGGGCACGCTGTGGGACAGCCAGTGTGGCTTGGGCTCGCCCAAACCTGTCACTGCTGTCACGACTCAGGATGTGCTCTTCAGTCCTTCAAAAGCAAAGGAGAGGACACCAAAACTGGTGTGGGCTGGCCGGGATGGCAATTCTGCTGCTCTGATTTTAGGAACCCAAAGCTTGCTGGCATCCCAGGGTGCTCCCAGCCCACTGCATCCTGCCCTGGCCCTAAGCACCCCAGAACTCATCTGAGCACTGGTGCTGCAGCAGAGTTTTGTGCTATGGAGACATCACCCAGACCCTGCAGACACCTGGAAGCACCCCAGACACCTGGAAGCAGCCCTGCCCCTGGCCAGGAACCAGGAGAACGTGAAGCGATGCCCCGATCCCCACGGCTGGCGGGGACAGCAGCGCTCAACAGGTGCAGCAGCTGCAGCGCTGGCGGGGGAGGAACTCTTGGCGTCCACTTCAAAGGCACATGGGCTCTGCTGGGATTGAAGAGGAGCCCGCCGGGAGCCAGCGCCTGCAAGGGGGACTTTGTTACCAAACCCTGCGGAGAGGCAGGGAAAACACTTGCGTGAGTGTCTGATGGCTGGGGCTTCTTCGTCTGCCGCCTTCACAGCTCCAATCCTGCAACATTTGTGCTGGTTGGCGGGAGCCAGAGAGTGAAACAGGCACGTCTAGAGCCACCTCCTGCATTTGGCAGGGAATGCTGTGCCGATAAAGGAGAAGAAAATGTGCTGGCGGGAGCGAATTCTGACTTTACGCTCGTCACTCATTACTTACACAGCGAAGGAATTTGTTTATGTAATTATTTTTAGCCTGACAGCATCTCCGAGAGCTGCAGGATTCTGGCGCTGTGGGCACGAGGCAGGGGCTCTGCTCCTGCCCCACACCAAACGCAGCGGTGCCCCCAAGCCCTGGTACAAAGTCTCTGTGCTGGAAACACCTCCAGCAGCCCTGCCAACCCCTGGCTCAGGCTTTGCCTCTTACCTACAGCATCCCTGGGGGCATCCCTGGAGCTTCCAGACTCCAGGACCACCCCTAGCACCCCAGACGTGGCTGGATGTGTCCTGCTCCATCAGTGAGGGTTAAACTGGTGTGAAATCCAGCCCTTGGTGCTGCCCCACGGTGGCACAAATCTTCCCAACTTCAAGGCAGTTGTAGCAATGCCGAAGGCAAAGGTTTAATTCAAAGTGAAATGCCTAGGAAAAGAAGGCCTTTCCTTTATAAACAATTTATATTATTTGACTATTACCTGATCTGAATCTCTGCTCATTACTCCTAGCAATAATAGACAACAGCTGTTAGCTTCCCTTTCTCACGTGGTTTTTGTTCCGGTGTGCGCAGAGTGAAGTTACATCAGACCACTACAGATATGTTCAGGAGTGCTCCGGCCAAGCAGACCCCACGTGTGAGTGCATCCTCGTTAGTACAACTGATTTCAGACTGATTTCATTCCTCCTGCACCGAGAGAGCAGGTGGGGCTGCTCCTCCCCAGCCTGAGCTCCCCTGGCTCCTCCACAGCCGCTCGCAGCAGCTGCCCGCTTTTTTTTTTTTTTCCTTTTTTTTTTTTTTCCTTTTTGGCTGATTTCCTCGATAGGAAAAGTTGTTTTCAAACCACTGGTAAGAAAACTTTGTGCCTCACTTCGATACTTGTACTTCAGAGGAGTACAGCAGCAGAGGGGGAACAGCCAAAATCTGGGTGATTTGTTGGGTGAGATTTTCCTTTTTCAGCCATCTCCTGCTGAAGCCTCGTGCACGTCCTGTGCCAGCAAAAACCCCCAGTGCTGGGACCTGCAGGGAGGGGAAGAGAACAGCACATGCTCAGCCTCAGCCACACAGTGACAGCACCTGGGGCTGTCCCAGCCACGGCACCCTCGGCCACTGATGGGGCTCGTCCCCACCCAGACACGCTCTGGATCCAGCCCAAAGCTCGTGGCTGCTCCTCCAGCCAGGCCAGGCCGTTCACACCGCAGTGATCATCCATCCCCAAGTGCCTCTCACCGTTTACTGCCCTGCCTTCGGCGTCTCCTCCTCCTCCCGGAGCTGCTGCTGCCGCCGTGCTTGGAAATCTTCATCTGAAAGGCAGAGGCAGGAGGGGGCTGTAGCCAGCTCCACACCAGGGCACCACTGCACCCCAGTCCCAGCTCTGGGGAGGAGCCCCCGGGGGAGGCAGCCGAGCTTTCCCCAGGGCAGGGTTTCCTTGCTCAGAGTGAGAATTCCCAGTGGGACTTAGGAAGTTTCTACCAGAACAAGCCTGAGAACACTGGATGGAGGCTCTGGCCCACAGGGGTATTTCTGCCAGGCATTCACACCTGCGCCAGCCCTGGGGTGATGCGGGGCCAGGCACCACGGGACCCAGCCGTGCCAAGCACAGCATGCCCAGAACAGGCACGGCCTGGCACAGCATTCCTTACCATATGCATGTCCCTCCACGTCATCCAGAAGATTTGCTGTGGAAGCTGCTGTCCCCATCCTGCGCCCTCCGCTAAGGAAAACCAGTTGTGGGGCCAGGACGTGGCCATGGCACCATGGTCACCCTTCCCAGCCCATGCTCCAGCTACAGAGGTGCCCTTGGGGAGCCCCCAGGAGCACCTGAGTGAGGACCCCCCCCTGCCCCACAGCTCTGCAGCCCCTTTCAGGATACACCTGGTGCTTCAACAAGTGTTTTCTTTTTGATTTCCTCATCTTCGTCTTCTCGGAGAAGGCTCTGGCGAGTTCAAACAGCTTCTTGCGCGTGGCTGGAGGGAAGCAGCAGGGTGAGAGTCTCACCCAAAGACCCTTCCCAAAGGTGCCAGGGGCAGTGGGGAGGAGAGAGGCAGGGCCACGGTGTGAGAGCCACCCGCTCCCCAGGAGCATGTGGCGATGCCCTGGGTTTGCCAGACTTGGAGAGAGAGACAGGGACACCTTGGTCCCTGCTAAGAGCTGCTGATGTTTTACCCTTTTGCTGGGATTTTCACCACCTTCCTTACCCACCCCTCCCAGCATTCCCAGTGCTGCAGCCCAGCTGAGGCCGCCCAAGGACCTTGGTCTAGTTTGTGGTGGAAAAGCAGGCTGTGACTTCTCAGAGAAAGGTTTGGGAGAGTGCCAGGTACCGCAGCCATCTCCCCTTGCCCACCCCACTCCCAGCTCCCCTCCAGCCCTGCCAGCTCGGGCCCTGCACACCCACTCACATTTTCCCATGTGTTTGAGTTTGTCTCGGAATAAGGCATCGTCGGACACGGCACCGCCGGCCTCGCTGGTTGCAGAGGGAGCTACGTCACCTGTGAGGCAAACATCTGGTCACTGGTGAGGGGGGCTCGGACAAATCACTTCCATGACCCAATTCCAGCACCAGCAAAGGGCAGAGCTGGGCAAGAGCAGGTGGGATGAAGGTGCTGGCATGTGGGGCTGGCTCTGGATGGGGACCCTCTGGGCCCAGGGGTGCAGAGCCATGGGCTGGCAGCACATCCTCAGGGGTGATCAGTCCCAGCACCAATACCTCCCTCCAGGGTCAGCAGCCCCAAATTCCCCCCAGAGCGCTCTGGGTACTGCACTGTGGGTCAGGAGCAAGCCCAGCTTGGCTGGGGGAGCAGAGACCCCCAGAGCCATGTCCCTGTTGCCAGGTTGGTGAGCCCAGCTGGAGCCCTGCCAGGCTGCCCAGGCTGGCCCAACCCTGTGCGGGGCCATCGACAGACAGCAGCTCTAATTCTGATCTGGGCAGCTGCTCTGCTCCGAGGTTAATCAGGATTACCCGGGAACAGTCATTATGCCTCCAGGCACAATCCTCTGCTGCAGCCCAGGCACGGAGGGCAGGGATGGATGGAGGCAGGATGCAGGAGCACCTCTATGTGGGGAGGGCAGGAGCATCCACCCTGACCCACCAGCTCTTCTCCCATGCTGGGAGGGCAGCAGGGAGGGATCAGCCAGTTTCCTCCCCCCACAGACACTCTGGAGGTAGCTGGGCAGAGGGATGGGAATGCAGGGGCTGTGGGGGAACCTGCTGTGGAGAGACAATGCTCACATCTGTCTTGGAAGTTACCTGATAATACAGAGGAGAAACCAAAGTCGTTGCTGACAGCAACACTGGTCGACTTGGATTTTTTTGACTCATATTTCAATCGATCTGAAAAGCAAAAAGCGCAGCACCCGCTCGATCAGACCCTCGAGGCAGAGCACATGGCTCTGCTCCCCTCTGAGCCCCATGGCTGCCGAGGGACAGGCTGGTGGCAAGGCAGGGAGCTGGGGCTTTGTTTCGGCCCACAAGCACTTTGATGGGAGCCCGCAGCAGCAGAGGAACTGCCCACCCACCACAAGCACACGATGAGCACACCCGTGGTTTTCCTGCCACCCGCGGTGACAGTGCTGCCAGGACCCTGCAAAGCACCACTGAGGTGACTGGGGAGGGCTCAGAGCACATTTCCAAAGCTCCTTGTTATGGATTCTGCTGGGCTCTGCCAGAGATGCTGCAGAGGGGTGGGCAGGGGCAGGAGAGCAGGAGTCCAGGGAGCAGCCCACCAGTGCGAGCAGCTCAGACCGCCAGCCCCCAGCCCGGCCTCATCCTGTACCGGCTCTGCTTTGGCACAAGCCCTGATCCCACGGACAGGGCAATGCTGCCAGCAGCCAGTGTCACAGCAGGGCACATGCCCAAAAAGCAGAAGTTTCTGAAGGCCTTTTTCACCTCTCTCCAGGGCGAGAAGGAAATCCCGGTTCCTCTGGAGCTCCTTCATGAACTCTTCATTCTGCAGGAAGAGCGCGATCCGCTCGTCCTCCAGGTACTGCTTCCATCGCCGCTCCTGCTCCAGGGAGCCCTGGCCCCGTGAGCCCAGCCCCCGTGGCACAGGCTGCCGGCAGCTGTGGGAGCCCTGGGGAGGCAAACGTGGCACAGCTGGGGTGGTGCCAGGCTCAGGGGGTCCCTGCAGCAGCACCCCGGGCTGAGCTCGGCCTTCTGTCCCTCCGTTATACCGCAGCTCCCCCAGCCCCGGTGGCCACGAGCTGCTGCTCGCCGAGGCGACCCTCCCTCCCCTACCCAACAGCCCAGGGCAAAAGGGACAAAGGGGGACAGGCCATCACTGCCTCTGCCCCTTGGGAAGGAGGACAGGGCAGAGGGGACAGACATCCCACTGGGAACCTTTTGGAGCTCCTTTTGCAGAGCGCAGGCCAGCACGGAGTTTTAACTTTAAAACATGGGGTTGTGCCATAACAGCACCTGGTGTGGAGGAAGAAGAAGGGTCTCAGCAGCATGGCTGCTTTATTTCCCATCTCTAAAGAGCAGAGTCTGCAATGTCCTGCTGACAAACGTCCCTGCACGAGGCACGTCACGCCTCGCACCTGGGGAGCAGCACAGCCGCGCGCTGCGGCACGGCCTCATCCCTGCCTACAATATTTATCTGATTTGTAGCTGCTCCCAGAGAGCCATAAAAAGCAAAAGCACACAATTACTGGGGAAAGAAAAGGGCAGCTGCTCCTCTCCTCCCCCTGAGCCCAAATGAATTGGCACGCTCCTATTCCCAGAAAGGTAATAGAGCCTGTGGAGCTCAACTTGCAGAGCAATCATTCATGAAAACGTGGCAGGCTGCCTTTGGAGATGAAACGGGAGGGGGGAGCAGGGTACCTGCAGCCCCCTCAGTCCCTCACCACACCAGAAGGGTGCTGGATCCATTTAGGGGTTCCTGTGTTAGCAAAGAGCCGAGGGATGCCTTGGATTGTGGCTGGAGCTGATCTGGATGCCCCTTGTTCCCCATGGGATGCTGCCTGTTGCCTGCTCTGCTGCAGGCACCCAAACCTTGTGGCTTAAAACAACCATGGAGCACATGAGGACTCTGATTTCCCAGGGGCAAATCCTCTGGCTTGTACTAGGTTTCCCACCCAAATTCCACTGTAGCAGCCCTCAAGTGCCCTGGCAGTGCTGCTCTCCTTAGGAACATTCCTGGTCCTGCTGATCCTCCCCAGAGCAGCAGGCAAAATTTTCAAATAATTGAAAATATTAGGTGCCAATGGCACAGTGGCATTTCTGGCACTAATCACTGGGATAACAGCAGGAAAAATACCAAAGCTTTGCTGAGAGCTCTTTCACACCTTGCCCACTTCAGTCTCTTGAACAGGACACACTCTGAAAACTGTTGGTTTAGTCCACACCTGGTACCCAGCTGCTTCCAGCGTGCTGGTGCTGCAAGCTCGGGGTGGCTGAGGAGGGGGATGGTGCTCCATGCCAGCCCACTGAGCAGGGCTGGAAGGGGTGGCTGAGCCTCACCTGTGTGCCGGCCGTCTGCTGGGGCAGGATGCGCAGGAAGTCCTCGGGGAGGTTGCCCAGGAGCGGCGGGTTCCAGTTCCTGTAGTGCGCGGTGCTGCCGGGGCCGGGCGCGTCCGTCCTGCGGGGCAAGCACAGGCAACACCTCTGGTGAGGAGAAACCCAGCAACACCTGCTGTGGCAGTGTGGCACAGCAGGGCCTGGCACAGCAGGGCCTGGCACAGCAGGGCCTGGCACAGCAGGGCCTGCCCAGCTCCACCAGCAGTCCTGGAAACCACAAAACCCCAGCACAAAACCCCAAACCTGCAGCGTTAGTGTCAGCTCTGGAGAGTGAAAGGCTTTCCTAGAGCGTTTGGAATCTTTGGGAGCTGCATTTCAAGCCTTGCTGGGTTTTCCTTCTCCCTGTTTCACAGACTCCCAAAAACCAGCCTGGCAGAGCCCCAGCCCTGCAGGGATTTGCCCACGAAGCTGACAAACATCTCTCACCAGAGGTCACACCCAGTCTGCAGAGGGCAGGGGCTGGCACAGAGGTGCCCCGGGCTCACATTTGCTGTCCCACAGGACAGGTGTGTGCCGAGGAGCCGGAGCGGGGCCGGCTGCCCAGCACCTGGTGTTTTCCAGCAGAGGCGAGCGCTCTCCGCCCCCAGGAGCTGATTTTTGCCATTCCACACGCTGCCGGAGCAGCTTTCCGGCCCTTCAGCTGTCCGTGGCATTTTTGAGCCAGCTGTGAGCTTCATTCAACTCCCTTGGCTTTGTCTCGCTCGGCTCTATAAGCAGCAGGGCCAGAGGGCCGTGCCAGGGCCAGCTGACCCCCGTGTGCTGGCACAGGGTGCCCCAGGAGCGGGAGCTCTGCGGGGCTGGGGCTCACCTGGGCGGG